TATTTGCGCTCGTGCCTTTTTGTTCCTTTACATGCTCATTATACCGGTGGTTATAGTTGGAAGAGTGCACATGCAGTAAATTTCAAAAGCATCTACAGAGACATATTATGAGTGTTGAGTGGTTAAGACTGCAGCAGTTATTCTTAAGGAGTCAGTGCTAATTCGATCTCATCATGATTGTCTGAAAGTGTACTCCTATTTTTATTATCAGAGATAAACAACAATGACAGCACATGCAAGTGCAACTATGCAAGTCCAATCCCATATAGATGGAATAGTTGAAATTTTGCCCAAAAGAACAAAAATTAATTTAAGATATACAAGGTTAACCTAACCCCTCAAGTTCACTCATTCTTGGTTGCATCACTGTAAGAACTTGAGACCTAGTACATGATGTGTGTGTGAGAGGACTTCCAAACTCCATTCACTTCACTGATGATGAATGAATTGTATAGCTAGCAGTTGCCCTAAGGAGGTGGCGTCATACTTGGCAGAAACCATCCCCATAGTCCAGCTTCAATATGCTACATTATGTAGTGTCGATTTCTTGATCGATCGATATTTCTCGAAAAGCATTCTCAATCGTCGTCGGTAGCACATAGTCGTGCAGTATCTTCACAAGCACAGTACGTAGTAGAGGATTGGAACAGTAGCGTGGCTTATGAGTCAAGATTTGGGAAATGGAAATATCAAATGAAAGAAGCAGAAGAGACCTGCGGGGAAGACAACGTGACATCAGCTTGGTGGCCAAAAGGGTCCCCTAGGGCCCACGGGCTTCATTCCCCCAACCCACGCGCGCGAAGGAAAGGGGAGCCTCCTCCCTCCTTTTTAAACACCTTTCTCATTCCCCTTTATAATTTGCTTCTCCTCTTCTTCACCTCTCCAGTCTCCAATACAGGCTCACGCACTCCCTCTCCGCTCTCACTCTCCCTCTCTCTTCATGATCTCAAACTAGCTAGCCTGAAGAAAGTACTCCCTGTGTGTAGAGTATTTGATCTCTTGAGGTCAGTTGGAGACATTACTATTTACGTCCCATGAAAATCAATTTTGTGCATAGGTAGAAGGATCGATCTATGTTTTTGATCTGTTCCTGCATTTTTTTTTCCTTTTTGATGAAAGCATTGCTGTTCTTGCAATTTTTTGGGGCTGTATGTGCATCTTGTTTTGTGTTATCAGATACTTGGAGTGATGTCTCTTCTTTCTCCCGGCCCTTTCCCTGGGTAAGGAGATGCATAGGAGATTATCGATTACTGGGTCCACGTCCACGAGACTTTTTGAGTTTTAGTTATTTATAGACGATTGATTGGAGATTTGGAGCACTGTATTCGTCTCGTGTAACCGTATGTTGGACGCTCTAATATTAGTTTCTTTTTCGTTCTCTTGTTGATCTCGTACTGGCCGGTCGGATGCTTGCACAAACGAGAAGGCTAGGCTATTTCAATACCTATTAATCTATTTTCCTGCTCCTATCTGCAAAATCCATTCTCTTAATATAAATAGATATAATTTCGTTTCTAAAAGTTGTGGTGCATTCTGGAGTGATCTTTCACATTATATAGCATGAATGAAACAACTCTGGCTTTCTTCCTTTCCTTTCCTTTCTATCTCTTACTTTCCTTTCATAATTAATACATTTTCTTCCTATAATGGAGATGGGCAGCGAAAATCATAGGGCATCTCCAATGTCTGTTCCATGACCAAGAACTGTCAAATTGATGGAAAAATGAAGGAGCATTTCTAGAGCAGCTGCCAAGGCACTGGTACTGGACATGCATGCCCGAAGTAAGGAACCTCATTTTAGATGGAAAGATGATGCAACACTGAGATAAATAATCGCCACACACTGCCAATGCTCCGTGTTGCCAACGATGTTACTTCTTCCCACTACTCGTGCTTCCTAGATCCACACATGTCCCATTTACGTCAATTACATCGTCCATTCTCCGTGCTTGTGATTCAAAGGCCTTGTTGGATAAACCCATTCCCTCGTGTGGATTGGAATGCAGTGGTGAAATGAGAGGGGGCTTGATGGGAAAAATTAGTCTATGTTCCACTTCAATTCCATCGTATTGGGAGGTAATCGATTTATCCAAACAAGGCCTAATTCTGTAATGTGTTGTCCTAAGTGTTGACATTATTGGCCATTACTAATAGCATGCATGGAAGCATCTGAGATGAGAGAAGGAGAAAGAAAATTGACAATGGATGTTATTCTAGGAGAGTAGGTTCTTTAACGAGTGGTTGTGAGAGGAGTACATAGGTCACTAGTAGAGAAACGACTTTCGGTTCGCACTTTTAGTCTCGGTTGTGTTGGGATCCGGGACTAATGCTCACATTAGTCCCGGGTCTAAATTTTACAGGCACCAAAGGTCCTTTTATCCCGGTTGGTAACACCATAAACTGGGACTAAAAGCCACCCTTTAGTCCCGGTTGGTAACAACAACCGTGACTAGGTTGGTGTCACAAACCCGGATTAAAGGTCTCCCACCCGGGACTAAAGGTCCTCCATGAGTGAATTCAAAAGGAGAGCGCCCAGGATTTTGTTAGATGTGGGTGCAGTTTAGTTGGTAAGGAAGCTACGCGTGAGGCAAGGAATCTTGGGTTTGAATCTCACGCACTGCAAGAGCGGTCTCTCAGGATTTAAACTATTTTTTAGTTCCAAGGATGGACTTTAGTCCCAGTTGCATGACCAGGGACTAAAGGCCCCGGATCCGCAATCCCGGTTGGAAAACCGGGACTAAAACCCAGTTCCCAACCGAGATTGAAGCCCACCTGTGTACTAGTGGGTCAAGGAACATGAGAGAAATTGGCATTGGGGGCTAAGCAACATGTGTGTTCTAATAAGGATCAGAGGAGGGAGGCAACAAGAACTAGACGGAGACAGAGTCACAGAGATGTTTGAAATTGGTTGGGGGTGTTGATGGTGGGGCTAGGGGGTTATTACGCGTTAGGGTAACTTCAATAGCCTCTTGATATCCTTCCTTATTGACATGATAAAGATTTTGAAAGATTTTGGTGAAAAGAATGTCCTCCAATTTCTTTAATTAGCATATATAACTATCATCTATTATGGATTTCTCACTAATTAAAGATGGAGAGAGCGAGGTTAGTTCTATAGAATGCGCACAAAATAAGCCGTTGGAGGGTGAAAACATATATAGAGAAGGATTTTTATTCAAATGACTCTTCAAATGATGATTTAGAGTTTGAGTTTAAATAATACTCTTGGATATGCTGTTATAAAGCCTTTTTTTCCGGACTAAATCCCTTTCTAGAGTTTTCACCTTGGTAGCAATCAAACGTTTTCTATCTTACTTATGTACCACACGCATACAACTGCATGCGGTCAGGGTCATATATAGTATAGGTAAGACATGCAACAAGCTAGTTATTAGTTCGTTATGCAGCGCGCGAGGGCGACAAAGGAGCAGAGCTTTGCCATGGAATTCCTAGACAAAGGGACAGAGCGGTCAGAGGTCGTGTGTAGTCCCAATTGTGTTTGTGCCCTACCTGCTAACTTTATAGAGCCAGCCCCTCCAGTCCCCAGAGCAGCAGGCAACAAGCCTGATCAAGTGATCATCCAAAAGATGGCTTTCTCATCTGAATGTTGCTCATCTCCATTTATACATTTTAATCTCCATATACGTACTTAGGCATGGTTTGGATCCCTATAAATAACAGTTGTCTCTGCTTTTAGATCCAGGGATCCCTTAGATCCAAGTAGGTGCAGCTAATAAAATAGCTAATTGTTAGCTGGATCTCTAGATAATAACTATCTCACTAGTTGGACCAGATGAAATAATAACAGTTAATAGTTATCTTAGTAGCATTTTTCATTAGCCGTAGATCCAAACTCCCTCCAGCTAATGGACAGCTTATAGTTAGCTAGCTATTATTAGATATGAACTATTAGCCAGCTAACTTTTTTTTCACGGAAAAGTCAGCTAACTATTAGGAGATAATGAATCTAAACAGGGCCTTATATGTATTAATTCTCTGTCATTCCCATGTGTCGCCAACAGGACTTGAGCCAGTGCTGTCTGCATGGCGCATTGCTCAGTGCTGTCTGCATGGCGCATTGCTCACGTCATTGGTACTAATATGCAAAGAACTGCATAATTTGCAATGGAGTTTGCATGCTGGAATATACATAACTAGATTTCTGGCAATTCCTCTTCCTCCTATACATACGTCCATACCACACTTTTCTGCAGAAAAACTCTGTTTTTCTTCTTTTAAATAAGCAATAAGCAAGGAACTCCATCTCAGCTGATAGATTTTAGACGACGGCGCGAAATAGCATTATTGGTTTCTGGAATCAGATACTATACACTGGTCCGTGGCGCTGTGTCAGCAACTATCCGCCCCGTTCGCTTAGCTTATAAGCCATATTTTTTCAGCCAACTAACAATATTTTTCTTTTACAACAAATCAACCAACGGTACTTTTAGCTTATCATCATTCCCTGCAGACTATGGCCAATGTGTGCTCCTGATCCTAACCTCGACACTATCATTCAGTGCCTGCAACATTGCTGCGGATTGCCCCGGCCTGCTGCCCAGGCTTTTACCGTACCCTGTGTACTACTACTAATAATGTCCAGGTCCAGGCCGGCTTCACCGTACTGACTGACCAACTCCAGCATGCGGCATGGGTGCATTGCGCCTGCGTCAAACTTTTCCAAAAACACTGAAACCCACACATCCTCATCCATGCACATCCTGCGTTTGCATAGTTCTACTCCACAGCCAACCAGTAGTCAAGCTTGCAGTACTGTCTCTCCTTGTGTGTGACTGCTTTTTCAAAACTGCCGCTTTCATACTGCAGGCCCTGCTATGCAGTATGCACACATGTTGCGTTTTTCAGTGTATATTTGAATGATTCGAGCACCACTTTGTCGTGTCTGATTGTGGAGAGAGTCAGGTGGACTGAGGCGGGCATTGCTGAATTTGATGCAGGCTGATTTCCGTGCTGCTGGGTAAAGGTAGCGTGTGGTGATCATGAAGTCATGCGTCCCTCCTGGGTTCAGGTTTCACCCCACGGACGAGGAGCTCGTCGGCTACTACCTCCGGAAGAAGGTGGCCTCGCAGAAGATCGACCTTGACGTCATCCGCGACGTTGACCTGTACCGCATAGAGCCATGGGATCTCCAAGGTCCGCAGCTTATTTGCTTGCATCCGATCCGCTTTGCAATATATATATATATATATATATATATATATATATATATATATATATATATATATATATATATATATATATTCAGTAGCTAACTACAAAATAAGTTATTTTGTAGCCACCTCCATTTACGATAATTTTATATATTAATTTACGATAATGTCAATACATATTTACGATAGTTGGGTTACTATAACACATGAGGATATTTACTATAACGTTACAGTAAACCACTTGGTAAGGAGTTACTATAATATCGTAAATTAATATAGTAATTATCGTAACTCAAAGTGGCTATAGAATAAGTTATTTTGTAGCCAGCTATAGGGTAGTAGTTATATATATATATATATAAGGCAGCATTTTAATCGTAATGTCTCTATGTATATGCGTAATAATGCCCCTAGATCTCACTGCATCTAATTCTCTGTGTGATGATGTGAAGAGCACTGCAAGATTGGTTACGAGGAGCAGAGTGACTGGTACTTCTTCAGCTACAAGGACCGCAAGTACCCGACGGGGACGCGCACGAACCGGGCCACGCTGACGGGGTTCTGGAAGGCGACCGGGCGGGACAAGGCGGTGCGCGACAGCGAGCAGGGCGGCGGGCTCATCGGCATGCGGAAGACGCTCGTCTTCTACACGGGGAGGGCGCCCAGCGGCCGGAAGACCGACTGGATCATGCACGAGTACAGGTTGGAGACCGACGAGAACGCCGCACCTCAGGCAAGCAGACCATAGCTCGCACTGCATTGCATTGCATTGCATCCCTCGCCTTGCATTGCAATTGGCAATCGATCTATCGTCTCTCTTTTCACGCGTTCGTGGCTTCGTGCATACATGCATTGCATACCATAGCTAGTCAGTCATCTGCGTGCTGCTTCTGTTGCTTCTATATGGCTCCGGCCGCCGCTACTGTCCGCGCGCCGGAGGCGACGGGGGCACGAGGATGGGGACGCCGGATCGTCCGGCTGTTTCAGATCGATTCGGTGCTCTCCGCTCCTTGTTCGGTTGTGCTCCGTATACTATCCAGCCCACTTAGGCCGCTTCGGTAGTTGTTTAGAGCTGGTTTTTATTATTTTTTTCCAAACAAAGTAAAATAAAATAACTTTTAAAGTGGAGCTTCTTAAACCCCCACTCTCATATGGAGTGAGTGCTCGATAATACTGAAAATACTAGCTTCTCATACCTCCCTCTCTGTGTCTACTATGAGAAGTTATTTTACGAGACGTTTTTTCTAAAATAGCCATAGCTTAACAAGTGAAATTGCTCGTGGAGAGAAGCCAAGAAAAACCATTCCACCGATGAAGCAAAGTTGTATCAAATGGCGCATTAGTATTATTTAGCTAGCTAGGTCGCTAAAATAACATTTGGAAACACACATCCGTGCAGGGCCACTTAATTTTCCCAACTTGTAAAAGATTTAACCAACTGGGTCAGAAAATATAAGGCTTCGAGTTTTTTTAATATTTTATTTAATAAAGATAAAAAAGGATATATTTGGTGGAATGCAATTTTATACTGAATGAAATTGTAGCAGCACTTAGCTGAATTCACCACCATTGATACGCTGTTATCAGCTTTTTGAGGCAAGAACTGTATATGCACGCAGGAAGAAGGCTGGGTGGTGTGCCGAGCGTTCAAGAAGCGAACAATGCACCCACCACGGAGCGTCGCTGGAGCATGGGACCCGAGCTACTCGTACTACCACGATCCCATCGTCGTCGCCAGCGCGGCGCGCTTCAAGCAAGAGTCGCCCGAGCCGGATGGTGCGGCGGCCGCCGCAGCCAGTGCCGCCCTCCTGCAGTACTCCAGCCGCCTCGCCGAGCTCCCGCAGCTCGAGAGCCCGCCACTGATGCCGCACCAGGGGAGCCACCGCCGAGCCGTGGCTGACGGCGAGGGAGACGCCGTGGCGACCACGGACTGGAGGGCGCTCGACAGGTTCGTCGCGTCCCAGCTCAGTCCTGACGAGGAGCACTCCGGGCAGGGGCAGGGCTTGCACCAGGAATATTGCGGCAAGCAGCCGATGGGGATGCATGCCGGGGACAATGAGGACGCGTCGGACATGGCGGCGCTGCTGCTCCTCGACGGCGTCCGGCACGGGGAAGCCGGCCTGCTGGGCTGCGTGGCCGACCCTGCGTGTCTGCACACATGAACGCGGCAATATATGGCATCCACCCTGAACCATAGATGCATGGCAGCACACTATACATGCATGTAGCTGAACGCTAGCCTTCAACGTCGTCCCATCGTTTTCGTTTCATGCATGTCTGGATCACGTACTGGTCGTCTGGTCGTCTGGCAGTGGCCGTAGCTTTTGCCCATCGACGCACCGGCCAGTAAGATCCTTTTCACCTGTGTCGTCGTATATTGGTATATGGTAATTACGTGTATAAAAGATAAGATAAGACGGCTACACAAATCGTAACAATCATGAATAATGCAAGAGACCAGAGGAGCATTATTTTGTTAATTACTACTCCCTTCTTTCTAATGGCCTGTTTTGATGCACTAGCTAAACTTTAGCCAGCTAAATTTATTAGCTGCTAGGTATCCAAATAGCTCAGCTAAATGCCCAGTTAAAGTTTAGCTAGATTTAGCTATTTATACCCAGCTAAAATTTAGCTAAGTCTATTAGTTGGAGCATCTAAACACCCCAACTAAAGTTTAGTTGGGAAATTTTTAGTTGGCTAAAATAAATTACTTTGAAATTTTAGCTAGCTAAACATTAGTTGGGTGCATCCAAACAGTCCCCACCTCCTAAAAATGCAAAGTACACTTCACCGGATGTCGATCTAAAAGGAAAATCTAAGCATACTTACTCGAAAAGTGTATAAATGAATCAATTAAAGAAGAAATCAGTAGTAGCAAGTTCTGTATAATATATGGTTGATTAATCTTGAGATGAAACTAAAAAGAGCAAACGCTGCGGCAATAATTGTGTGTTCTGGCATAATAACTTTAAAGGGATTTCTATTTTTTCCTTATGAGAGGGAAGATTTGTGTTTCTCTGGATGAGAGATTTTATGTTATGTTTACAGCATTTTATCTAGGTCCTATAATACCATATATATTGTGTGGCTAGAGATCTATATCGAATTCTGGAAATCAGACCTCAAAACCCAGCTAGGACCATGGTGGCTTGAGGCACGAGGAGCTTCTCCTCAGCCTTACACTCCAAAACAGGGCCAAATAACACTCCAGAGAGGCCCCTTCAGAGAAAATAATGAGGCCCCATCTATTGCCCTCTCCCGAACACACACCATTAACACCACCAAAAAAAACAAAATGCGATCTTTGCTGGCTCCTGGCTCACAATAAAATTGTCTTCAAAAAAATCTTTTGTTATTGTTTTATTATCTTTTCAAGTTTGGATAATGATAGGGTGTCTGAATATTGAAAATTTTGAGCGCTTACTAATATTTCTTCTTGATGTATGGTATAAGAGTTTCTTGTGCTATAGATATGACCCCTTTTATCACTATATATGGATTGAGCTATAGATTATGGCAGCATGAAAGAAAAGAGAGAGAACAAACTTTAAAAGTACCGTACTAACATTAATTGGATATATTTGCATATTTTAGTGTGTAATCTTTTGGATACTACATCAATGTATACATATCTACTCACTGCCGCCCATATTTGATTTGGGTGTAGTTTACATGTGCTGAACATTAATGTGCAGACTATGATATAGGATGCATTTTTGTACTACCACATATCATGCTTCCTCCATTTCAAATTACAAGTAGTGCTGACTTTTCTAGATACATAGTTTTTGCTATACACTAAGATATACGTTATGTCCAGATATATGCTAGAAAAAACAGAATGGCTTCTGATTTGGAACGAAATGAATACCTTTCATATTTTTTTCAAGTTAATTCAATCCTAAATACTCTTTGGTATTGCCACGTATTGTCCCCTTTCATATAGTTTCACGTTAATATAGTTCTATGTTTTTTTGGTGCTATCACATATTGTGCCTTATTTAGTTTCAAGGTAATACACTTGAATGCATTTTTTTTGTTTCCATATATGCTCTGCTGTTTCAAATCTTTGCCGCTAGATGTCATCTTAAACATAACTTTTATTAGAGTTAAAAGCCCTTTGATTTAATAGAGACATTTCGCGAAAAACATATTTCTCAAATAGAAAAGGTTGCATTCATAATAGTATTTATTATTAGCTAGAGTGAGCATCTTTCCGTGAACTTTTGGTTAAGTTACATGAAACATGCGCATCAAGTTTAAATCCTTGATTTGGTATATGTGTTCCTATATTTATTTTATGATGATCTAATGGAACTATTTTTTATAGTAAGAGATGTACCCTTCGCTAGTCACACTTTTATCAATCTCAAGACATATTGGCTTAATTTTTCAAAAGTGATATGGGTAGGCTATGATTGTGTGCACATATTTATATAGGTAAGTGCATATATGTACTTGTGAGCATCTACTTCTTTATTATTCCATATAATTTGGTTTCGATAGTATTATTATGATATGTATTGTCTGTTATGTAGAGTGTTGGATTTTTTCTATGTTATGAGATGATGTAAGTTTAGTTTTTTATGCAAGTTGTAGCCTTGTCCCCTTCCACCCAATGTTATGAGATGCTGTAAGTTGTAGCTTTATCTCCTTTAATCCTATGTTTTCTTTTTCGCAATTGCTTCTTTCTGCACGCGCGTACGGAGACATTCGGTGTGCACGCACTAGAAGCCAAACAAAATTGCAGACGGACTCACATGCTGTCACCGTTGCCGGAGAAGAAGAAGCCCGCAACGTTAGGGTTTGGGATTTCGGGGATTTCCATGCTCTCCAAGCTTAGAAGAAAGCTTCTGGGGAGGACGCTGGACCGGCGGTGGCGGTGGTCAAGACGGCGGGGGCACCGCCCGCGGGGCAGTGGGAGAGAGGCAGGTTGGACGGTGTCGGTGGCGGCAGGCATCCATCAGAGAAGAAGGGGAGAAGTTTGGGATTAGCATAGCGGTGGCAGAGGCGGCGGCTTGTTGCCGGAGCATGGGAGGTGGTGGAGGCAGGGTCCGCTCACGGCGGATCTGGAGGTGAAGCTTAGGTTAGGATTAGCCATGGTTGAGGGCAGCGCGAAGGCGACGTGGACGTTGCCAGAGTCAGACGGGGTGAGAAGGCTGCGGGGAGCGCATGAGGAAGGAGGAGGTGTCTGCGCATGGGGAGGAGGAGGCGTACTGATGGAGTCGTGGGCGCCTGCGCATGTGGGACATAGTAGAGTTCTTTTTTTTTTTATTAACATCATGACAAACATCCTCAGCCTCTCAAAAACAAGCTCTACATTTAATATTTGCAACGATGTATAGCTCCATGGTCACTTGGTTAGTCCTTCTTGCCTTGATGCTCCAACAAGAATTGATTGCCTACCACTTCTTCTACTAAGTGCTTACCAAGCGGTATATATAGCAATTTCCTAGAGCATAACCGTTGTTGATATATTTATAGTTTAAAATACATGATGGGTTATGGAATTAAATGAACTTTAGCCGCTAACTTGTTGTGCTTGGTCTATACTTTTGGACCTACATCACTTTTTTCTTGCCCCGATGCTCTATTCCACGAGATTTGCACGCCTACAATCTCTTTTTGCCATTTTATGCACTTCTTTGAAGTATTAATTATACAAAACCTTGACCGATATATTTGTAAACATAACACGTTACGCTTGTCTTCTTTCTCTTCCCGCGCTTTACTACACACCCATGCAAAAATAGTAAAACAAAATCTTCTACGCTACGCATTTGCAAGTTAACACGTCTACAATGAAAGAACATCCACATTGTCACTATATCATCAAACACAATATTATCATTATCATATATAACATATAAACGTCTAACCTAAAACACCTTATAGTAGATATATACCAAGAACTTAAACCTATTATTTTTCTAGCAGAAATAGACACAAAGTAACTAACGCTTTTTGAAGCCATCTCCAAACATATTTCCATACATATTGCGCTAACATATACAAAACCGTACACATGTTTTTTATTCGGAAAAAGCTGGTAGAATTGTGAAAAACAGGGTGTGTTCTCACACAGAATTGCAACAAAAACCGAAACACACAGCCAAAGCATAAACCGTATTAATCCCCCTCTTTTTTCCAGTCCTCTTCCCCCTCCCCCTCGCCGAGCAAACATCCGGCCCTCGTCGTCGCTGCCGACCTCGCCCGCGCCGCCGCCGAGTTGGGGCCGATAAATAAAGGGGAGGTTAACGCGCTACCCGTCGCGACCTCGGGTAGCGCGCGACTGCTCTCCTCATCGTCTTCGCCGCCGCCCTCGTGCGCCCCTCCTACGCCGCCCCCGCAGAGCCGCCGGCCGCCGCCCCGAGGCCGTCCTCCCCTAATCGCAGGGGCGCCCCCGCCACTCGCGCCGCGACGCCCCCGCTCACCGCTCTACTCCCGCCCGCAACTCCGGCGCCGACCTCGCCCCCCCGCCGCACCTCGGTCCACCGCCGTGTCACGGACACGGCTCCCCGGAAACCCCAGCCTTTGCCTGCGACGAGCATCTGTCAGGTATGCCCGCCCCTCCCTTCCCTTCCCGCCGCACGAAACCGACCACCCCAAACCCTAATATAAGCATTTTTTAATCGGATCTGACCCAGTTGCGTTGCAAGTTTATACATGTATTGTACCTAACAATGTTTTTGCTAAAATTATCGGGTGTACACACCCATGTCCTATACCAGCTCCACAGTGTCAGGGGAGATGGAGGACACCTTGGCTAGTATAAGGAAGAAATTGAAGAAGCGGAAGAAAGGCAAGGATAGTAATGACTTTGGTGCAGTGGCTGAATGTGGACCTGAGGTTCTGACATTGGTTCAACAGGAAGATGTACATGGTGTTGTTGATATAGGTGATGGTGTTGCTGATGAGAAGAGCAATTTAGATGTCTTGAAACTGGAGGGGAGTGGTGTTTCTGGGATTTGTGCTCAGGGTTTGGATGATTTAGGGTTGAAAGACTCCTTGTCAATGCTGTTTACGAGATCTGGTCGGAAGTCACGGCAGGTCTCAGAGGAGGCAGAAGGCATGGAAGTTTCTTGTTCGCATGATGAGGGTGGTCTTAACAAGGGATCTGGTTTGGCCCCAGACACAGCTTCCAAGGGCACTAAAAGGAGAAGGCGGCGCACAAAGGAAGAGATGAAGAATGCTTGTGTACAGGATCGGAAAGCCTCATTGCCTCGGAAGGCAAAGGCAAAGGCAAATGGTAGCAAGTCCACTAGACACTATAAGGTTGGTGCTGGTCCTGGGCAAGCTTTGGGAGGATTGTCTTCTGTTTCTCCTGAACTGGAAAAGTCTGTTGGGGAAGAGAATGCTGCAGATGATGGATTATTTCACCGATCATCAGCTGAAGAGCTTCTACGAGATGTGGAAGCCAGCAAAGCACTAAAGGATGGATCAATAAACTCTTTCAATGGTGGGGTCACTGATCACTTTGAAATCTCAGCTTGGGCAAGCAATCACCCTGGGCTGGAATCTTATTCAGGAAATCTTGATGAAAAAACATCTTGCACAGCAGCAAATACAACAAATGTTGGTGTTTCTGATGCACACATATGTTCCCAAACGCTAGGGAAGGAAAGCAGCGATGATGTTGATTGTTCTCAAGGCAAGTCACCAACATCAACCATAAAAAGGAAAACTGGTCTAAAACCAAAACAGGTGCCTGGGAAATCTGTTCGACCACGAAAAGAGGCAGTATTATCTGTTGAAGCTGATAATAAACCAACTGAGACAACAGAAATTATTGAAGCAAATACTACTATGGTTATTGAGGAAAATTTGGATCAGCTGCCTGTTATGGGGCCCAAGGATTCTTGTTCTTCTCATGACATTGTTGGAAATAATCCTATGTGTCTAGGTGTAGACATGGCAGCACAACCTGTGAAAGATGTGGATATAGTTGATGTGGCAGCACCATTGGATTATGAAGACAAGGAGAATGCATCAAAGGTGAAACTGAAACGTGTTACGCGATGTTCCAAAAAACGCAAACATGGTGACATGGCATATGAGGGTGATGTTGACTGGGAAACTCTAATGCAAGATCAGGGGCTGTTCTCAAATCCCTCAGCAGTTTTTCCAGATCAGTCAATAAAAACAAAAGATAAAATTAGAACTTCAGAAGTTTATGAGGGTGGAGGTGATACTGGTGTTGCTGCAGTACGTGCTGGCCTAAAGGCAAAGACTATTACACCGATTGAGAAGATAAAGTTCAAGGAAGTTTTGAAGCGCAAGGGTGGCCTTCAGGAGTACCTAGAGTGCAGGTAGGTTAATGCTTCCTTCTTACCATATTAATATCAAATTTCTGTGCTTGGTGGCATTAACCCTGCATCATGATTTTCCTATATCTGTTTCTTTTTGTATTCCAGGAACATGATACTAAGTCGCTGGAGCAAGGATGTTAAACATTTATTGGATCTTGCAGACTGTGGTGTTTCAGATGTTCCTTTGAAAGATGAGTTGCCGCATCAAGCACTTACTCGTGATGTGTTTTTATTCTTAGACCAATATGTAAGTTGAGTTGCTGTTAATCTTCATTATTTTCCAAAATTGCCTTACCAAATTAAGCCATCAACTTCCACCTACCATTAGCTGCAGCTATTGCACCTCTTTGATGACTTTCTGAAAATCATTGAGCATATGTTTCCCTTTTACGTGCAACCAGCTTATAGATGTCCAATTTACTACTAACCTTATTACCTTGTTAAAGATTTTCTTTTAGTTACTATGTTTTGCTGAATTAGAAAAGCGCCTGAATGATTGCACCTTATATGTCATCAATTTTCAGGGCTACATAAATGCTGGAATTGTGTCAGATAAGGTGGCAAAGGGGCACGATGACACTCCGTATGAGGTTGTTGAAGTACCCAAGCTAAATGAATCACCTCAAATGGAATCAGTGAGCATTCAAAATAGCATTGTCTCTGTATCACAAAAGAATGAGGATTTTGAGTGTGGAACAAGCATTGAATGCTGCAGAACTGTAAGTGTTAAAAACACTGAATGTGCTTTGGTAGAAGCATCAAATGAAAAGAATTGTCCCACTGTTCACTGTGGTGCCCTGGAGTTGCTACCTCACTTGAAGTCTGAAGAACATCTGACGGAAAAAAATAATCTAGACATGTCAACTGAAGGTTAGAAATGCATCACTGCCATCCAGCAATTTGGATATCCAATGTACGTTATATCTGGATAGTTCTGTTGGAAAAGCTGAAGTCCCTCATCAACAAGAAGCACGTGAAATTGAAAATAGTGGAAACAACTGTCGAAGTGACAGGGTTGAGTTTGCTGTGCATGGCAAAAGAATAATAATTGTGGGAGCGGGCCCTGCTGGTTTAACTGCTGCTCGCCATTTGCAACGTCAAGGTTTTTCGGTCACTGTTCTTGAGGCACGAGAAAGGATTGGTGGCCGTGTTTATACAGATCGCACATCACTTTCGGTTCCTGTAGATTTGGGTGCTAGCATTATTACAGGGGTGGAGGCTGATATAGCTACTGAAAGACGGGCTGATCCATCCTCTTTGATTTGTTCTCAGCTTGGTCTTGAACTTACTACGTTGAATAGTGCTTGCCCTCTGTATGATGTAGTAACTGGTGACAAGGTTCCCTATTCTTTGGATGAAGATTTAGAAGCCGAATACAATGGCCTTCTTGAAGAGCTGGCGCTGCTTTTTGCGCAAAATGGTGACAGTGCAATTGGTTTATCCCTGGAGGATGGACTGGAGTATGCTCTTAGGAAGCATCGTGCAACCCAACCTATGGATTCTGTGGAGCAGGATGGCCACTTGAGATTTATGACAAATTCTGGAGCTGTAGACATTTCCGTAAGTGCTTCAACAGGAAAGGAGATAGATCATTGTGGAAAGAATGATAAGATAGATGTCCTCAGCCCTCTTGAGAGAAGGCTTATGAACTGGCACTTTGCACATTTAGAGTATGGTTGTGCTGCAACGCTGAAATCTCTATCCCTTCCATACTGGAACCAGGATGATGTATATGGAGGATTCGGAGGTGCTCATTGCATGATCAAAGGTGGCTATGACACTGTTCTACGGAATCTTGCTAAAGGACTTGATATTAGGTTAAACCATGTTGTAACTGAAGTACTGTATGGACCTGAGGAGTTAGGTGCTAGCCGTAAGGATGGGAAATATGTCAAGGTTTCCACTTCAACTGGAAGTGAATTTACTGGAGATGCTGTGTTAATAACTGTTCCTCTTGGTTGCTTGAAAGCAGGGACAATCAAATTTTCACCTTCCTTGCCAGACTGGAAAGTATCTTCTATAAACCGGCTTGGGTTTGGTGTTCTAAACAAGATAGTATTGGAGTTCCCTGAGGTATTTTGGGATGATAATGTGGATTACTTTGGTGCAACTGCAGAAGAAACAGATTTAAGAGGACAGTGCTTTATGTTTTGGAATCTCAGAAAGACAGTTGGGGCTCCAGTTCTGATAGCTCTACTTGTTGGGAAGGCTGCTATAGATGGACAAAGCATCAGTTCTGGCGATCATGTTAACAATGCTATGGTGGTTCTCCGAAAGCTTTTTAGGAATGCTTCTGTACCAGATCCAGTTGCATCCGTTGTGACAAATTGGGGACTTGATCCCTTTAGTAGAGGTGCTTATTCTTATGTTGCAGTTGGAGCATCAGGGCGAGATTATGATATTCTTGGAAGGCCAGTTGAAAATTGCTTATTCTTTGCGGGTGAAGCAACATGCAAAGAGCATCCAGATACTGTTGGTGGTGCAATTTTGAGTGGTTTGCGAGAAGCTGTTCGCATCATTGACTTACTGAACACTGGCAATGACTATATTGCTGAGGTAGAAGCGCTACAGACTTACCAAATGCAGTCAGACAGTGAAAGAAATGAAGTCAGGGACATGTCAAATAGACTTGAAGCATGTGAACTTTCTACTGCTCTAAGTAAGAACTCATCTGATGCAATGTATCCAATTGTTAGCAAGGAATCTTTGCTGCAAGAAATGTTCTTCATTACAAAGACAACATCAGGGCGCCTACATTTGGCTAAGGAGTTATTGAAGCTTCCTACGGATGTTCTTAAATCATTTGCTGGGTCTAAAGAAGGACTAAATACGCTAAACTCTTGGATACTTGTAAGTTGATTAATGAGTTGTTTCTTTAAGCATTACATGACACTGGTACTTTTCCTATATTGAAGTTCTTCATGTTTGCATTTTGATTTTGGCAGGATTCACTTGGGAAAAATGCTACTCAACTACTGCGGCACTGTGTGCGTTTGCTTGTGCTTGTTTCCACTGATCTGGTAGCTGTACGCTTATCAGGTCTGTGCAAAGCTCATTGTCTCCATGTCCCTTTAAATGGCGTTAGGGAATGTCTCTCGACATAAACAGATTTTCATGTTCCTCCCTTCCAGCCTTATCTTTGGAAGGGTACAAAACCATAGGTTATCACATTCTTATTAGGAATCTAATTTACCTTACCAATTTAGCAAACCCCTTCCTAAAAAAAAAAGGGCAGACCCAGTGCCGGAGGCTCTCACATGAGTGGGGTCGGGGGAAGGGAAAAACCGAGGCAAGCCTTCCCCCCCGCAAAATCTGCGGAGAGGCTGCTTCGAACCCGTGACCTGGTGACTCAGTGAGACAGCTCTCACCACTGCACCAGGCCTGCCCTTCAGCAAACCCCTTCCTATTGTACTTTTTATAAAGGGCGTACCCAGTGCAGAGAGCTCCCGCTCTGTGCGGGGTCTGGGGAAGGGTGTTAGTGGCAAGCCTTACCCTCGCCTGTGCAATGCGAGGAGACCGCGACTCGAACCCGGGACCTTCCGGTCACAGGCGGTAAGACTCTACCACTTGCACCAGGCCTGCCCTTCCCTATTGTACTTTTTATGTATTTGTTTATTCACTAGTTCGATCAAAGGGGAACAAATAAACAAATATCTGACATTACTGAGAGAGGAGTATCTAAGTGCACTACTACATTGATCTATGTTTGTTATAACTAGTGTGTCCCGTGGATGTTTGTATAAGTTATTTGCCATTGTAGCCTGGCGACAAACCTGATTCTTCTTTTTCAACTTCATGCAGGAATTGGGAAGACTGTAAAGGAAAAGGTTTGTGTGCACACAAGCCGAGATATTCGTGCTATAGCTCGGCAGTTGGTCAGTGTGTGGATTGAAGTTTTTCGTAGAGAAAAGGATAGAAATGGTGGACTCAAATTGCTGCGTCGAATACCATCAATTGAATTGAGTAAGACCAAGAGTAAGGATCTGCAATCAGGAAAGCCTGCCTTACGTGTGCCAAATGAAACTTTGGACAGTAATAAAGTAGTTTCCCAGCGCCAGCGTACAAGATTCGCAAGTAGTCAGTCACCACCAAAGACAAACAAGAAGTATGAGAACAAGGAAATGAAATTGGAAACTGTGACAGCTGCTATGTCCAATGGCAAGTTGCTTTCCCAAAAGCAACCACATGGTATTGAATCCAAGGTGGAGTGTGGCATTCCTATGTCCGAGGAAGAAGCTGCTGCATTCGCTGCTGCCGAGGCTGCTCGAGTTGCTGCCATAGCAGCTGCACAGGTCTGTGACTAAAATTTTCTTTTGATTAAGATTTGTCTAACCAATCAGGTTTTAATATTGACCATGGCATTGACCATCCTTATCGTCTCTGATAAGAACATTATCCATAAAAAGTTGAGAAAGATTGTTATCTGCCTCTCTATATTAGAGCAGTTTCATTACCTGACACCACAGAGTTGGCTCTTTATATCATCACAATTTCATTACCTGCTACTGCGGACATGGAAATTTATGCTAGTTTAGTCGTTATTAAGAAGGTGGTCCTAGCTCAGTTGGTTGAGGGTATGCCCAATTTCAATTCCTCATCGAGGTGAATTTGTGTGCCTATTTTCTTAATATACAAAGCCAACATTGTTCCTCGTAGGTTGCTTTAGTTTTTTTAAGCGTTATTTATCTGTTTCAAAATTCAGGGCGTGTATTTTTTGCTAGACTTGTTGCATACTACATGGTGTGTTATTGTGTACTGTGTAGCTCTGAATGCAAAACTACAGAGACATTTTCATTTTTTTCCTTATTTATAATAATCTGTTCCCCTTCTTTCTGTTCATTTATCACCAAGCGAAGCACTTCTCTCCAGTATTTTTAAAAGGAACTAGTTTGGTCATTTCCATGTTATTTTCTTGAATTTATAATCTCCTTATCTTGTGCATGTTTTTGGGACATACCCTGCATGCAACTATTAGAGCAAGTATATTTATCACTGTTGATCGAATATATCACTAAAAATGGAAATTTAAAAATTAAACATGGAAATCGGAGGTTTAGAAATTTCAAACTTGTAAGCAGTTTGATCTGACTAGTTTATCGTTTAGATTCAGTAACTGAGATAATCAATAGAAATTAGACAAACTTTGAGGTGGCCAATGGCCAGTTATGGTACATAAGGCTTGAATTAGAATTAGAGTTGCATATACAAATATTCTAGTTTCTGGTGTTGGTCCAGAATAATGAACATGTTCTACAAAAGAAAAGGAAAGCCATCTAACTCATGACTCCTGTCTGTTTTTAGGCATATGCATCTGTAGAGGCAGAGATAAGTGTGCCTCGTGAGCTTCCAGAGATACCATCGTTCGAATCTTTTGTGATTCGTGATCACCATTTGGACGAATCCAATACAAGAAAAAGAGCATTGAAGGATAATTTTGGGAGACTTGAGTGCATATCAGAAAATGATTCCAAGAATGTCAAAGCTAAGGATTTGCCTGACAACACCAACTGCGCTGATGCTGACAGCTTGAAAATGGCTCGTGATAATTGTATTCAGCAGAACCACTCAAATGAGACAGCTTGCCTAGCAAACACTGATACTGGTGTTGTATACGGTCGGTTTACGAGGGCATGGGTGGATACTGATACAATCTGCATTGATGGTGTCAAGGATCCTCTAGCCATTGAGAGGTGGCAGGCACAGGCAATGGAAGCTGATAAAGAATTCTACAGTCGGATACGCATACCTGATGAAGATGATTCAAGTAGTCAGAAGCAGACATGCCGTAGTTCTGCCTCACAGGGTGCCGATAGCAAACCTGCATCTGAGCGGCAATCAAGAGGCGTGGAGCATATAAAACAGGGTCTCGTGAATTTTATAGCCTCGCTGCTGATGCCATTATATAGAGGAAAAAAGATCGACCGAGAGGGTTACAAATCAATCATGCGCAAATCTGTTAACAAGGTATTATACCATGTAGATATGTTTTAAAAATGTCTCTTGATTTTTGGGTTGACAACTTGAAAACTTAGTTTGGTAGTGGTAGTTGGTTCATACTTTAAAAGTGTTCATTTTCCACATAATGCTGCATGTGTTGCTCTATTCTCTTTTAGTGTTATTTCCATCATCCTTCTGCGATCTATTGAGCATTGTTGCCTCGTGAATTTAGGTGATGATAGTAATAATACTGACAGTAGTCTCTGTTTTCTCTGGCCTCAACAGATCATTGATACATGCTCAGAAGGAGAGAAATCGATGACTACTATTGAGTTTCTTGATGCTAAAAGGAAAATTAAGGTACAGCAGTGTTCACTTACCAAAGTTTTATAGTTCTATCCAGACCCTTGCTAATACTGCGTAGCTCTCTATCAATGATGAGCATTATTCTGTTGACTTCTGCCTTATGGCTTGGGCTTCTGGCCACAGGAGGAGCCATTCTGCACCGTGATAATGTCTTCTGATAATTCTTTTACATTAATTGGAATAATGTTATGTGTTTTAACTCATGGTGTTTACCATCCATGCAGATTGAATCCTTTGTGAACAAAATGGTTGACAAGCATTTGCATGTTGTTAGCAAGTCTGCCAAACCTTAAGATTCACATGTGTAGTGAGGTGTTTTGTGCAAAGGAATCTACTCTCTTTTAAAACACCAAGCTATCAATCGGTGATTGTTGATCCAAGTGAACTAAAACCTCACTTCAGAAGCCAGCGTGGCTCATCAGTGTCGCCGCAAGATCAGCAAGGGCACCTATTACCCAGACTATAAGCGTGGTCCAGAAGAGCATTGACCAGATCAACTCCATGTAATTCTGTACTTAGATAGGCATCATTTCCATCATCGTAACTATAGGTCAGTCAAAGGTTTAGACCTCTGTGCACTCGACAAGCATGTTGTGCATGCAATAAGCTTGGATGCCAAGTTAAGTTTCTGTGGCTTGATGAAGTGGCATATGAAGATCCTGGATTCAGCGTGGTCTCATATGCAATGAGGGCTTTTGCGCCTTTCATAGCGGTAGTTGAGTCTAGCCTAGCGGATTAATCCTGTTCATTGTTCAGAGTTAACTTCACCAAAGTAGATCCTCTTCTCTCTTTGTTGTACAGTTGCAGTTTCTAACAAGCGTTTAACTTATAGAAAGGCTGCAGTTTGGCAGAGATTTGCAGCCCTTGTATATCCTTGGTTGTTTATAATGAGCCCCCTTGATTCTCGAATGCTAAATGATTGCCCCCTAAAAAGATGTTTTGCCCCGAAGTTCCCGGTTGATTTGCGTCTCTCCATATGTTATAATTGTATGATATGATTGATTTTCATTCGACTCTCCCAGCTGATTGAAGTTTTTCCAGAATCTTTGCATGGAGTCAAGGGAGACAGAAGTCTGTCTATTCAGTACACACTGCCGTTTTGTATTACTTTTTGACCTTCCAGTATATTTCATGTTTTCTTTTATATACAAAGGCATCATGTTTCTATTCTTTTTGTATCATGTATCTGGAGCTCTGACGGTAACTTTACTTTCTCCTCTTGGATGTGCTTCAGATGTGCAAGTTCAGGATGTTTACTACTCCCTTTGTTTCAAATTATAAGATGTTTTGGTCTTTCTAGATGCATTGTTTTTACTATGCATCTAGACACTGTATATCTAAGTGCGTAGCAAAAGCTACGAGTCTAGAAAAGGCAAATCGTCTTATAGTTTGGAATGGAGGGAGCAGTACCATGCATCAGGTTTCAGTAACTACATGATATGTTTGTTTCTCAAATATGTTTCGGATGTTTTCCCATGCTAAGTATTGCTCTTTGTTTTTTCTTGAGACCCTGTAAAGCTCTTTGTTTTTTTCTTGAGACCCTGTAAAGCTCTTTTTTTTTTTCTTGAGACCCGGTAAAGCTCTTTGTTTTTTTTTCTTGAGACCCAGTAAAGCTCTTTGTTCCCAGGGTGTATCTGATACTAATTCCTATTGAAGTTATTGTCTAAAATTTTTGGTCCCACAAGATTCGGTAGCATAATCTTCCAAAGCTGGTATCTAAGTTTTTTGCCCAGTGATTTCTTTTGACTTAGTTAATTACTCGGCACAGCTTTCTCTTGATGTATTATTTTTTATTACTGTGCCTTCTCACGTGTATCTTGTGTGCTTTAATGTTGCAGCAGTTTCCTATGCTCCCCCTGCTGGACAAGGGTTAATGGGTTATCCAGTAGGAAACGCCTTAAGGGCTTAATTTCAATATGCTCCATAGAAAATCCGAGTCCAGGACTACAGGTATTGTGTTTCAATCTCCAGATCTAATCTGAACCATTTTATTAAATAGCTTCTGATATCATTTACTTATCATTGCTTTTCTGAATTCTTGTGCAGGACAGACGTGTACTGAGGTAGCTGCTGCAAGTGTCATGAAGGGATCTAAATCAACGATCCTAGGTTGGTTGGGACGTGGCTACAGCGTTGCTTACTTGTTCTTATGCAGGCGTGCTCTGCACATTTCTTGAACGGCAGGAAATCTAGATGGTGCATAAGGCCACTGTCCAGGGCTTGTGGTCCGTCACTTGCCTGGGCTGGGTGGGGGGTGGGCACGGGAGGATTGATGGAACACCTATGGAGAGCACTTGTATTGAATGAGCAGGCTTAAGCTCACTGTAGCACATTATGAAATCTTACATGTCTGCCTGCATGAGCCATTCAGTTCAGTCAACTCTTGCTACACTGATTACCCAGTAAATTTACTTGCTGTCGCGAGTTGTTTGGTTTGCCTCGTTCTGTTGTACAGGCAGGCTTGGGCAGCTGTAATAAATCTGCACAAGTACAGCAAGCTGTGGCCCGAGGTGGGGGACTGTATCTGCGTCTTTTATCTTTAATACGTCCTCCTGTGGTACTCCTGGGCATCGTCTTTTAGGTTTGTTTGGCTTATAAGTTGTACTTTTTCAGTTAATGAATAGTATTTTTCTCTCATATAAAATTAGTCAACAGTACTCTCAGCTATGGTTTATCAGGCAAACAAGTCTAAACGAACAGTTGATGGGAAGGAGTTGGACAGTGTGCAGGTATATTGATTTTGCTATGCTGTGAGAACGTATGTATAGTTATTTTTGGAGCATGTTGGGGCCATTCACAATTTCGTTGCATCATTTATGGAAACCATTGAGGCGACGATGAATTTCTTAGAACAATATGCTCACAGGGTACAGCAAGGTATGGTGTGGCACTGAATCTCTGCAGGTTGACGCGGAGACTTTATACCATCTCAGAGGCCAGATCTGAGGCGGACCGACCACTCGTAGCCACTGCATGGGATGATGGGAATAAAGTGGTTCCTTGGATCGTCATCATATATTGATGAGATCTCTGTATTGATTGGGTTCTTTCGTAGGATTAGTACTGAGATGGAAGCATCGAGCATGCAAGACGTCAAAAACTCCTCTTCAGTCCTGGTACGTAGCGTGCGTGATTCTTAATCCTGCGTTTTCATATATGATTCATTTTTCATTGTATATTATTATATATTTTTATATCTTGCAGGAGTTCACGTGTAGCAATGCAGTAATAAGAACAAAAAAGGGGAGGAATAGACCAAAAAGCGGAGAAGAAAAGGTACAAGCTCCACAAATCGGATCATGTCACTTTCTGTTCAGGAATTACAACTGAAACGACTAACCATTTATATCATAATTACACACAGGCCAGGCCGGGCAAGAATTTTTCTCGGCCTTCAATATGAAAACCTGAGAACGAGTCGAAAAAACAATGAACAAAAAAAAAAGGTAAATGTAATTAAGTACTCTTCACATTTCTCTCGAGCCCGTCTGCCCTTACACTTCCTTCCTGCAGCCTCCATTAGGAAACTCTCGTTGTTGCTTGTTGGCAGCCATCTTCTTCTTCTTCTACGAAGACCCATCCTTTTGTTAACCTGATTATGAGGTTTGTGGTGTTCTTAACACTCCTTGTTGTGGCTTCTTCACCATCCTATAAATTACCCGGCCAGCAATCTCACCGTTTCCTGTCCCATATCTCCTCCAGCTCCCTGGCCAGGTCCTTCTGGCGTCCGACGACAATGGTGACATGGTCCTTGCCGTCGATGACCTTGACCTGGGCGCGCGGGATCTTGGACTTGACTGCGTAGCTGCACTGCACGGGGAGGAGCTCGTCGTCGCTGCCGTGGTAGACGGTGACATTGCAGGTGAGCTGGTCCCTGACCACCTCGAGGCACCTGTCGATCTTGCCCGCGCTGCCGCAGATGATGTTGTGGAGGGTGTGCCACGACGCGATGTGGGTGTGGCAGAAGAAGCCGTCCATGAGGTAGGTCCGCACCCTGCCCGTGGGATGGAGCACGACGAATGGTTGGTTGGTTAGCCAAAAATATATAACCGTGTCTCTCAAACAGTCAAACCAAACCCTGCTGTATTAGGCCGAGTTGTCGTGACATTGCAGTAGCTGTGAGCAAAATGCTTACAAATGTTCCTCGAAGAAAAGTTTGCAAATGACATTATGCCATTATTAAGATATGTTTCTTAACCCACAGAAAAAAGTTGCTAGCTGGAGCACCCCGCTGGCTACATCTGAATATACAGAGAGATGAACTGTATCCACTCCTTTTATGGCACCCTCAACCAAATCTTGCTGGAAGCGAGCGTATTGGACAATTCTTACGCTGCTAAATAAGCTTACCTTTAGGCATTAATACGATGATGAACCCTTTTCGTGAAAAACAGCTATTGTTCGTTGGCACTAAAAATGAACGATACTTTGTTTTTTTCCCTACGAAAGTAAGTTGATCTCTCTCGAGCATTCATTGTGAAACGTTGAATCACTGAAGAAATACAAACAATCTTAAACCATATTCATGGTCAGTGGGTGGCCATGCGGCCATGCCACACGGCACCGGCAGATGGCCCGCCGGCCCACCACTCCAACGGCTGACCGCGGTCAACTGGTTCCTATGCACCCTATTAACTGCCATTGATCACATCGACGCAGGCTGGGCCCCGCTGGCGCTCCTAAATGGAGATCCTATTGATGTGATCTCCTCCTTTACGACCTTGATTAGTCGTAATAAATTCCGTAGGTTTGTGCAGATCAAACAAAACCAATGGGGCCTGTGTGTTTAGTTTCAAACCAAAATCTCAAAAAGTGCTACAATACTCATCACAAATCTTACGATACGTATATGAAGCATTAAATATAGATAAAAAAACTAATTGCACAGTTTAATTAAAAATTACGAGATGAACGTTTTGAGACTAATTAATCCATGATTGAACATTAATTGTCAAATAAAAATAAAAATAATTGTAGTCAAATTCCAAACTTCAACCAACTAAACACGCGGGAAAATGGCCATGCGGCCGCATATCGTGAACCAGTACCCAAAACCTCTTGCAGGATGCAAAGAAAAATGCCGTTGAGCCGGTCGGTCGCTGACCTAATTTCACCTCACTGAATTGGACGCGTTTTGTAAAAATTTGCCTTCGATGATTCACGTACGTGACACGTACCTGTAGAGGGTGAAGACGCGGAAGGCGAGCTCCCAGAGGCGGTGGTGCTTGCAGAGCACGATGCTGACGGTGCGGCTGAGGTGCTCGTACCAGCACGCCACGGAGGCGCCGAACGCGATGGGCGGCCACACCCGCCGCGGCGCCACCGTCCGGAGCACGTACCGCGCGCCAACCTCCCCGCGCGGCACGGGGAAGTAGGGCGGCGCGACGAGCGTGAGGGACCTGACCGCGGCGGGTTGCCTGACGGCGAGCGCGAGCGCGAGGATGGAGCCCAGCGAGTGCGCCACGATGTGGAAGGACTTGACCCCGTGGCGCTCGATCACGGATCGCTCGATCATCTCCACGTGCTCCCGCAGCGTGTACAGCGAGTCCGCCGGCTTGGGGCTGCGGCCGAAACCCAGCAGGTCCACGGCGAACAGCCGACGCCGGGACCGCGCCGCGGGGCTCACGTGCGGGAGCACCGTCTCGGTCCAGAACCCCGACGACGAGACGAACCCGTGGATGAACAGCACGTCCTCCTCCGTCGACGCTGCGATCGAGGCATGGAGTGTGTGTGGGTTAATTAATGCTTAATAAATGGTGGTGCCTGCTGTTCTAATGGCGGGAGGGCGGGCGGGAGTACCTTGCGGCGGCGCCTCGACGTGGACGAAGAGGCGGTCCGTGTCCGCCGGGTTGCAGTTGGCGCAGTGGCAGTCGGACCACCGCGGCGACGGGTACGGCCTGTGCTTGCCGTCGCCGCCGCGGCCGCCGACCTTGCCCCGCAGCATCTGCACGATGGCGGAGTGCACGGTGACCCCCGGCACCGGCGCGCGCCGCGTGGAGGACCCCGACGCCGCGGCGCACGCGAGCACGGAGGGGCGCGTGTAGAGCGTGTCGGAGATGTCCTCGAGGTGCAGCCTGGTGGCGGACAGCATGCTGACCACCTTGGAGCCTCCCCGCTCCGACACGACGATCTTGCCCGTGGCCGCCGACGCCGGGGACGCCGACCGCGAGGAGCAGTAGCAGGGCCGCCACGCGCCCTCCACCACGTAGTCCGCCACCTTGTACACGACGCACAGCAGCACCTCCAGCGCGTCCAGCAGCAGGAACACCACGAAGCTCACGGTCTCGTTCGCCGCACGGCCGGCGGACGCCAATGCCGACCGCGCCGCCGCGGCGCCCATGTCCACGACGCCGGCCACGCCGAACGAGCACCGAGGTCCGCCGCCAGGAACCAAGGCTCTAGCAGCAACGCAGGGAGGGAAGGTGGTGGTGGACTGGTGGTAAAGAAGGGAGGCAGAGGATGCAGCGAGCGGTGAATTGAGAAGGTGCTCTGGCATTAAAGCGCAGGGGCTGGTGGTTGTTGAACTGACACGGCCAACTGGTGCGCGCGAGGCTTCTGGAGCAACCGAGTGGAGTAGTAGGCGCAGGCAGGCAGCCCAAGTAGGCTCAGCTCTGCGCCTGCACCTGTTGGAGGCCATTCATAGGCCATGCAGTATATCTGTTGGTGCCTGGCAGTAAAATAAAGGTGAAATCAGATAGTAGTACTGCTACCATTGTTTGACTTTGGGACCTTTCACTTTCACCCATTGGAGGTAGTACTACTCCTACCTTGCAGTTGAAATTCTTTATAGTACAGCACTCCTTTTTTACCTTGAAATTGGAGGCCAGCGGCCTAAACGATCATAAATTTTTAATTGAAATAGTTTTTTTTTCTTTACTAAATTAATCAGCAGTAATAATCCATGTACGAGCATCAGCCGAACAGGCTGCAGGTCCCAAGGAAACAAAACAACGAGACAGCGAAAGCACAAGCGCAACATTTTTGTGAGCCAGCCCATTGTTGTTGGCGTCGCCGTTGACGCTTGTGCGCCCTGATCGGCAGTCACGAGGCGTAGCAACAACAGCATC